GCAGAGGGTCTCCTAGGTATTTGCATTCGCAAGAAAAAATATATAAAAGGCAGCAGGGCCTCCTCTAAGCGCCAATCACTTGGTGAGGCCCCCAGCATCGAAGCAGCAGGGGCCTCAGGGGGGGCCCCCAGGGGGGCCCCCCATATACCCCGCAGGAGACTCACTTTCATGCAGGAGAGTATTGCTGAGCTTAAGAAGGCTCAGAGACAGCAGCAGCAAAGCGCGGTAGATGCTGTCTCCTCAGGGGCCCGAAGCAATGCGGAGGAGCCCCGCTATTCATTTCTTTTTAGTAATAAGAGTAAAAATGGGGCTTGAGACACCTCCGTGTGTGTGGCTTCAGGTGTACGTACACCGCACATGCATGCATGTATGCATGCATGTGTGGTGTCACCACACATGCATGCATGTATGCATGCATGCATGTATGTATGCATGCATGCATGCATGCAGGAGGATATTTAAACGTGTCTATCTTGGCGTACATGGCCCCGTAGATTAGCGTCATTTAGATGCTAGATGCATGCATGCATGCATGCTTGCATGCATGCATCATGCATGCATGCAAGCAGGAAGACATTTAAACGTGTCTAGCTTGAGGTGTATGCGCATACACCTTGATGTACATAGATCGGCGCCGCACACTATTTAGATGCATGCATGCATTTAGATGCATGCATGCATTTAGATACATGCATGCATGCATGCATTCATGCATGCATGCAGAGACGCGCATAGCAGTTCGTTCGTTTGTTTGTTTTTGTTAGGCATTTGAAAAACAAAATCTGATTGACAGACTCTCAGGTGTATGCATAAAACCATTTGAATGAGAAGGCAATATAATAATACATATATACAAATATATATATATATATATATTTATATATGTATCTCTTGCATATCTGTCTCTCTCTTCTCTTCCTGTTTCGCTGTCTGTCTCTCTGTCTCTCTTTCTCTCTCTGTCTGTCTCTTTGTCTGTCTCTGTCGTTCTGTCTCCCTCTGTCTCTCTGTGTGTCTCTCTCTGTTTCTCCTTCACGCCCTCCGACTGTCTCTATCAATCTCTATATATCTATATG